AGCACCAGATCTGTCTTCACTCAAATTCTACCAAGTTCTCTCTCTTTGCTGGAGGCATGCTGGTAAGTACATCCGTGTGGGACTAAAGGCCATCATAGCTTGGTCAAGGGACCAAGACAGGGACTTTTGGTACTGTAAGTGGTGGGGTGGGTATTGGGTTTGTGTCTTTTAAAGCCATTAGATTTCCAATAGACATACAGAACAACCGTGACTGGTCAATTTGTATTGCTGTTCCTTAGGGCCCTAATAGAGTATTTTAATACAGTGCATACATATCCTGCTGTATACTTTATCATCTCTAGATTACTTGTAGTTCCTAATGAAATTTTTATGATATCTATGTATTTATTTATCTATCTCATACTGAATTTCGAGAACGACCAGAAAAGTCGTACTTAGTACAGATATATGTATCTTTAGAGTACGTGTTTTTCCTTTTTGATGGACTTCTGTTCTGCAGAAGCCACACTTACAGAGAAGAAACTGTGCGAGCTTTAGTCAGAGCATGTGCCCAGATGGACTCTTTTTGCTTGTATGCCCGCAGCTCCGAGTGGGGTCTCAGTATGTAAGCTGAATAAAAAATGCAGGAAAGTAGAGGGCTCAGCTGCCAGTCAGGCATTCAGAGGCAACGCCCTTATCTCGTTTTCTATCCCCAGAGAGTTCACCTTGACATCCAGGTAGGTGAGCACGCGAACGACTATGCAGAAATTGCTGCCAAAGACAAGCTGAGCGAGCTGCAGCTGAGAGTGCGACAGCTGGTGGAGCAAGTGGAGCAGATCCAGAAGGAGCAGAACTACCAGCGGGTGAGTGCTTGGCGGGGAGCGGCCAGCTTCTCAGAGGCCGCTGGTCAGGAAAGATTCAGTGTCAGACCCCAGGGGACTTACCTGTGGCAGAGTGCAGGTCTAAAAGGTGAGTGGCCGTGACAGAATCCATCTTGTAGTTGAGCCACGCTAAATCACAGTCACACAGAGAAGAACAGCGTGGCACCTAGGCAGTTTGGATGCTCACCTTACTAGACCTGGATGGAGGTGGGTGTTCCTTGGACTTCCCACAGGGCAGGGAACCCTGATAGCTCTTTGGGCTGACGAGGGAGGGGGACTTGACTGGGGGAGGAGGAGGGAAATTGGAGGCAGTGGCGGGGAAGAGACAGAAATCTTTAATAAATAAACGGAAAAAAAAAAAAAAAGAACAGCCTGGCAATTAATACCAGCACCTTGTGCTGTTTTAAAGGTCCTAGGTGCTGCCAGAACCAAGAGTCTCTAAATTATTTGTGACTAGGAACCAGACAGGTACCTTGAAGGAATCTGTCGCCTTAAGGAGTTGTGGGGCTGTGACCCATCTAAACAAGGAAAACTATAGTGCCTGCCAGGGCCTCCTTACAGAAAATGCGAACCTTAGTTTTCAGCACCCCACTCCGCCCCCAAGAGCTAAAGGTCTGGGAGATCCACCTGCCTCTGCCTCCCAAGTACTGGTATTAAAGGCCAAGATCCAGATTTTTATGTGAAATTTTCCTGATTTTTTTTTTTTTTTTTTTTTTTTTGGAGACAGAGTTTCTCTGTGTAATATCCTTGACTGTCCTGGAACTCGCTCTGTAGACAAGGCTGGCCTCAAACTCAGAGAGATCTGCCTGCCTCTGCCTCCCAAGTGCTAGGATTCAAGGCGTGCGCCACACTGCCCGGCAAATGTTGACAAAATGCTGTGTGGTGACAGGCATGGTGGCGTACATCTTTAATCTCAGCGTTCTAGAGGCAGAAGTTGAATCAGTTGCAGTTTGAGGCCAGCCTGGTCTGTATAATAAGTTCCAGACCAGTCAGGGATACACGGTGAGACCACATCTTGAAAGAAAACAATACAAGCAAAAACAACAACAAAAGTATTGTGTCAACCAAACAGTATGAATATATGACGTATATGATCTTGAAGGAACAGATTGAGAGACCTGGACAGAAGTCCACACTAAGCACTCCAGGACACCTCTGTCCCTTGGGGTTGTCACCACCACCTTACTTCTTCTCTGGGTGTCAGGAAGGGTCAAGTGAGGCCTGTACCTGACAGTTGAACAGACAGACTTAGGAAATGCATTAGTCTGCTGGCAGTCACCTGCCTGTTGGTGCTGAAGGTAGTCCATGCAGAGTGGGTGGCCCTGGGGCATCCTTGCAAGCTGGGAACCCAGTGGCTCTAGCAGTCCTGAGCTAAGACTTGCTATCGTTTCCCCGACAGTGGCGGGAGGAGCGCTTCCGACAAACCAGCGAGAGCACCAACCAGCGAGTGCTGTGGTGGTCCATCCTGCAAACGCTCATCCTTGTGGCCATTGGCGTCTGGCAGATGCGGCACCTCAAGAGTTTTTTTGAAGCCAAGAAGTTGGTGTAGCTGTCCCAAGCCTCGCAGGCAATCTTTCTTCCAGGCTCTTGGGAAGGACCTCCTGGAACTGGCTCCTCTGTGGGAGGAGGACTGGTTTTCAGCCATAGGTGTTCTGAAGGGAGAGGGACTGCAAGCATGCCCTCGCTGCTCAGGCTCCAGCCGAGGACAGTACTTGGCTGGCTAATGCTGAGCGGGGGTGGAGGGTGGGACAAGCCCTCCCCACCTCCACCTCTGGACCTTTCGCAGTAATCACTCAGGAGCTGGTGATGCCCTTGGTGTCTTAGATTCTCAGTGTTACTGATCAGGGATGTGGGGCTGCTTTCTGGGGTAGGATTGGGAGGGAAGTGGGTGGGCCAGCCAGCAGATTTTCCTTCTGTCTTCCTTTGTTACATGGGATTTTGAGCAGGTCATGGTGTATCAGGGCTTGTTATTCCAAGAACTTCGCTTTCCTTGCCTTTGGCATAGACCAGCCTGCTGATCTAGGGTGTATGTGTGTTGGTTTAAGGGTGGGGTAGAGGGATTGCAATGCAGGAAAGGGGCCCAGAGGTTGACTTGGGTGTCTTATAGTTGTCCTTTCTGGGGTTTGAGCAGCTGGCAACACGCCAAGCAGAGACTTTGGTGCTGGTTGGAGACGGAGCCTGCACTAAGTTACTGAATTTATTTTCAATGAGTTCAGGTTTGTTACATTTGTTTCCCAATTAAAAAAAAAGAGAAAAAATTGTCCTGTGTACAGTTAACTCTCAGCGGTTATGACAATACATGGACTTCCTGGGTGGTGGCAGCGCACACCTTTTGAATTCAAGGCAACTTCATCTACAGAGTGAGTTCCAGAACAGCCAGGGATGCACAGAGAAACCCTGTCTTGAAAATGAAAAAAATTAAAAATAAATAAAAATGAGAGAGAGAGAGGAACCTCTTGCAGTGGACACAGGACTTCACATTCCAGGGTCACTCTCCACCTGTGAACATCACTCTCTCGATCCCTTGCATGTTTGCTTGTGGCAGATGTATGGTAATGAGTTTGTCAAAACCATTAACAAATTGTGGGGTTGCTGGTATTTTACTCCTAGTTTTTGAAAGGAAGACCCAGAGTGCATTCTTACCATAATCATACCAAGGATGTTCACTATCAACTGAATGCTGTGATATAAAATGGGTTCATTTGGTTTTTATGTAAAATTTAATCTCTTGAGATACTGAGATCACATGGCCTTGTATCACTGCTCCTCATCGGCCCTACCTAACTGGTCTCCACAGGAAGTCAGCCCTGCCTTCAAGGTTGGCCATGTCAAGAGCTGAATGCTGAGTTTGTGGTGTAGAATGCAGAGTCACAGGGTGGGCAAGGGTTGTGTTGCTTGTCGGGGCCTAAGAGGGGAAGGAGTTGAAGAGTTGACTTCTCACCAATAGTGGAGATATCCTGAAGCAATGTGCTTGAGATTGTAGATGGTGGGTGGAAAAGATGCAGACAAGCCACCTGATTAGCCTGCGCCTCAATTCTCGCGTCTTCACAGCGGAAACAGTGCCTGCTCGTAAGGACTGAATAAAAGGGTTCAGTAGTAAAGAATTAAGGATAATGACTGCCAACTGGGCAGTGGTGGCACACGTCTTTAATCCCAGCAGGGAGGCAGAGATAGGCAGATCTCTGAGTTCGAGGCCAGCCTGGTCTACAAGAGCTAGTTCCAGGATAACAGGCTTAATAGATATTAAGTATTTATTAGGATATTAAATTTTGCTTGAAGAGCAGAGGTCAAGTCCAATAATTGTCTCTTTTCCCAGGCGAAGGCTGGCAATGAGTAAGGGTGATGGAGTGGATATAGTCAAAGACGGGGCAGATAGGGAGCTCGGTCCCCTGCTCATTGTTTCAGCTCTCGTTAAATACTGGACAGAGCATTTATATAGTGGTGACTGTATCAGGCACTGCACCAAATCTGTTTACATTTTCTACAATGACCATACAGAATGAGAACAATTTGGGCTGGAGAGTGAAATGGCTCATCGGTTAAGAGCACCGAGTGCTCTTCAGACGTCCTGAGTGCAACTGCCAGCATCCACAAGGCAGCTCACAACCATCTCGTAATGAGATCTGGTGCCCTCTTGGCCTGCAGGGACACATGCAGGCAGAACACTGTATACATATACATAAATCTTTTTTTAAAACGAGCAATTTATATCCCTAAGTGGTGAAACAGTTCCAGAAAAGTTGACTTGCCTCAGAACATAGTTGAATTGTCAGAGAGGGTTTGAATAGCAATCAGGCAGTCTTCAGAGCTCAGCTGCTATTTGGTGAGTCTACCGAACCCAGCTCTGAATCCTGAACTGGATCTCCCGGTGCTCCAAGTTTATGTGCTTATTCTTCTGGGCTGACAGGAATGCTGCCATGCTGCCAGCTTTCCCTGGGGAAGAGGAGGAAGCTGCTCCTTATCCCAGAAGTGCTAGGCCCAGCTGTGCTCAGCTCATTTGGGGACCCTTGGCCTGAATGAGGGGAGGAAGCTGCCTTTTTTGTGACATCTAGTTGGTCCCTGAGACCCGCCGGCGTGTTTCTCCTGGCAGCAGAACCTTCCAGGCGGCGGCGCTGAGGTGCAGCCGGCAGGGCCGGAGGGACGGACCTGACGGACCGCGGGGCGGGGCGGGGCGGAGGCGGAGACGCCGCGTAGGCCGGGCAGGCCGGGCGGCCGGGTTGGAAGCGAGAGCTCCATGTCCAGCCGTGTCTCCCCACGATGTTGCCCTCCCGGAGGAAAGCGGCGCAGCTGCCCTGGGAGGACGGCAGGTGAGCGGCGGCGACCAGTTGGAGCCGCGTCTTCTTGGGTGCCATTCTTTTCCTGAACGCCGATAGAATCTAGGAGCCTGACGGCGGCCGCGTCTGCGGTTCTGGGGGTCACCCTGAGGGTCTCCAGTTCTTGGGGAAGGCGTCATTGGCATTTTCGCATTGACTGCATGGCTCTCTTTCTCTGCCAGCTTCCATTCCGCACGTGTGACCCTCGGTTCCTGTGTCTCGGTTACTCTGTCTGTGTCTTCCTCTCTGCCCTGATCTCTCTTTGTGTTTGTTCCTCTATCTAGTCCCTTTCTCCCATGTGGTGTGCTGTGCTGTGCTGTGCTGTGCTGTGCTGTGCTGTGCTGTGGTGTGTGTGTTTCTCTCATTGCTTCGTCTGTTTTCCTGCGGCACGCTGGTTCCGTTCACGTCTTACAGAGGATCTCTCTATGTTGTTGCACCGAGTGTCTTTATTTCTTTTCTGTCTGCCCCATCACATCCTTGTGACTTCAAATCCTACCTCCTTCCTTCATGCTTCTTCATATTTTGCGGTTAGCCCGGAAGATCACACCAGACAGAAGCTTCCTATGTTCTCTGCGTGGTTGGTTGGCCATTGCCTGGCTTATCCTAGACACACCCATTAGTTCATTTCCTGTGCTGTGGTACTTGCCTGGGTCCAGCCTCGAGTGTTAGGTGGTGAGTCTGGCCCGACCTGATGAGTTAAGATATTTCCCCCAGAAGCAGAATAGGGGAGGTGATTTCTCTGCTTAGATTTATAGGGACAACATACTTCAGGCTTGAAATATGCTCCCCTCCCCCATCCTTCTTCACCAAAACACACCTTAGTGGATATTCATTTAATGAGTGACACGTTTAGTAGGTATTATAAGATTCGAGTTTAGTGGACATAATTTTTTTTTTCAGATTTGGTGTTAAAATGTGACAGTAACATGTCCAGAGACAGACCACTTAGTTTTTCTGACCTCAGTTTTCCGTCTCTGAAGTGAGGAATTATATTATCTACTTGGAAGAGTTCTTTGAAGTCTAATGAAGATCATATATGGAGGAAATAGAGGAGAATTCCCATCTTATGATCCGTTTCTTTTATTGTGTTCTTAGAAAAATATATTGATGTCCATTCTGTGTTTTTGACACAGTGGCAAAGATCCACGCAACAAGTATAAAGTTCTGTAGTAAATGGGTACTAGCTATTGAACAAGCCTGCTTGAGTTTGAAGCACCTCTAATTAGCCCTAGGCTTTGATTGATAAAGGAGACCAACCCTTTTTTAAAGTGTCCCTCAGAACCTGGGTGTGGGAGCACCTGGGACTGCAGTTCTGGAGACTGCCACCAGGTGGCACCAACAATACCTTCTCAATGTTCACTATCATGGGCTTTATTGATAGACTTGGGACCCTTAGTGGATTAGGCCTTTAGAGCACAGAGTGAGAGTGTCCTTGGGCACTGCGATCCTTGAAGAAAGGGCAAGTTGGATTGAAGAAACATCCTGAGCAAGTGCATGAAGTGTCCAGTCCATGCCATACTCCTGGATAATGGCCATTGCTTATTCCCCTGAAGGAGGTCTGGTACCCATTGTCCCTCGTTCAACTCTCAACCCCGCTCCCAGAAGGAGCTCAGAGTGCAAGAAAGACTGTGTAAAGATTCCAGGCTTGTCAGACCTTTTGCAGGTCTGGGCTCTACTGCTCCACAGTGGAAACCATCACCACAAGATGATGGGGGGTAAGTCAGAAAGCCCATGAGGCCTGTCCTACTGGGCAACCTCGCAGCTGCATGTGGGAGCTGGGCCTGGCTTCAGAGCTGCTGGCTTCCAGATTTGCACTTGTGTCTTTAGAGAGAAGGTAGGCATGGTCGTGGCTCCAGTGTGTAACTTAAAGCATGCTTGAACTGCTTCAATCCTTCCTTAACTCCTCGCTCCCTGCCTGGGCCTGAGCCATAGAGAAGAATACGACACATGCTGAAAGTAGGCTCATGCAGCTCACCACACATCAGCGATGTAAAGAAGGAAGTGCCGGGTACCCTAGCAACACAAAGCAGGGAACTTGGGAACTTGGTGGGGGCAGTGATGGCCATGACATGGATCTTTGGCCTTGAAAGATTGCAAGGGAACCAATACACGATTAAAATAAGGGGGTGTCAAGTAGGAGAAGCAGGTGGGGTGAGAAAGGACTGGGGCAGGAAGGAATGTGGCAAGTGGAAAGGGCCCTTGTCGCTCAGGGTGAGCGGGAATGCTTGTGGAAAATAGAGAGGTTACAAAAGTCACAGGCACTTTGTCAGAGGAGTCTGACTGCCAAACAAAGATCTTGACCTTGTAAATGGAGGCTGGACAGATTGAAAGTGAAGAACAGGGCAATGACCAGGAGTCAGGATGATTGCAGAATTTAGGAGGTAGAGTTCAAGATCTGATACCCAGGTGGTGGTGGCACACACCTTTAATCCAAGCACTTGGGAAATAGAGACAGACAGATCTCTGTGATTCTGAGGCCAGCCTGGGCTACAGAGTGAGTTCTAGGACAGCCAGGGCTACACAGAAAAACCTTGTCTCAGAAAAACCAACCCTGCCCCTGCCAAAAGACCTGATGACCAATTCCTGACTCTTAACCTCTGAACCATCTCTCCAGGAAAGATTTATTTGTTTATTATGATCCAATTCCTGACTCTTAGAGGTTATAAAGTAGATTTCTTTACTGGTCACTTGGGCAGGAAGGCAGGAGCAACTGTAGAGGGAGCTTCCTTTTTAGATTTCTCAGAGCCATTCCTGGTATCCTCAGGAACTTCCAGAGAAGGCAGAGGTGAATTCCACCGTTTCTTTTTCTTTCTTTTTTTTTTTTTTTTTTGCTTATTTGTTTTGTCTGTTTTTGAGACAGCATCACTATGTTACCCAGTTTGACCTTGAACTGGAAATGCAGGCAAGGCTTTCCACCTGTTCTGTTGTAATTGTTACACTCAAGGGCAGTTTCCCAGCATCCCCCAGTGTCTGAGATAGTCAGCTGTTTGTCCAGTTTCTGACACAGCCCTGTCCTCTATTTTTATCTCCCATTTTTTTGGGGGCTATCTAGTGGTCTGCCACTATCCACTATCCCTTTGTACCTTATGTTGGGCGGTTTTGAGCTTCTTTAGACTAAATGTCGGACATTTTGCCTGGGGCTTATGTCAGCACACATGCCTTTTGGGGGGCTTTCTGGGTACCTTAGCAGTATGTTTGGAAATCAGTGGATTGAATCTTTCTTAAACTGGAACCCCTGCCATTGGCTAAGGACCTCAAAACACTGCCCTAGTGAGAACACATATGTCCTTTCTCCTGAGCACTCTGACTGGAGTCCCCAGAGTGTGAGAATTCATGGGAGAACTAGGGTAGCTGTAAGTGGTCTGAGAGTGTCCCGGGGTGGGGGTGGGGAGTGGGGGAGTCGGAGCCTGCTCTCACAAAGTCAGCTAGGTTGGGGGGACGTTAAGGCTAAGGAAATGTCAGATGAAGGAAACTGAGACAGAAAACGCAACATAGAATCAGGAGGTCTTTTTGGTCATGTCAAAACAGCCCAGAGTTTATTTCAGAACTTGCTTGTATGCAAAAGCAGAAGAAAGCACGGCACAGTCAGTCCGTCAGTCAGTCAGTCAGTCAGTCAGTCAGTCAATCCGTCAGTATCTAACCACGATTCCTGGCCTTGAGTGAGCGGCCTCCTAACTAACACGTGCTTGCTGCTCGGAAGCAGCCTCGCTTTCTATCTTGATGTTCCTGAGGTTTGGCAGCAGCAGTAGTCTTTCTGCTAGATAGAGTGTTCTTTTTCACGGGCAGAATGCTCTTTCCCATGGGCTAACTCAGAAGTTTCTCACAGTCCTCAAGGTTACTGGAAAAAAGCAGGGCTGGCAAGCTTGACCTCAAATGATTTAAAAGTCAAAACTGACTCCAGATGGAAATGAGTTGCACGTGGGTTACCACAAGACAATAGCACAGGCTAGACCTACAAAGGTAAATGGTCTGAAAGTGTCCCAGGGATAGCACAGGCTGGGCTTACAGAGGTGAATGGGCTGATCATAATTGATAGTAGCATGAGCAAAAACATTAAACATTGCTTTTGCACTAATTGCCAGGTATTTAGGGAAGGCTAGTCATTTGGCCTTAGAGAAGGAGGCCAGAGAAAGGGCCTTGGAAGGAACTTAGCTGGCCTGTCCTCCTGACCTCCTTCCTGCTCTTATCCTAGGACCCGGCTGCTTCCTGGAAGCCTCCGGCGGAAGTGCTCCATCTTCCACCTCTTCATTGCCTTTCTCCTGTTGGTCTTCTTCTCCCTGCTCTGGCTGCAGCTCAGCTGCTCTGGAGACATGGCCCAGGTGACCAGGGGACAAGGGCAGGAGACCTCGGGCCCACCTCGGGCTTGCCCTCCAGAGCCGCCCCCTGAGCACTGGGAAGAGGATGCGTCTTGGGGACCTCACCGCTTGGCAGTGCTGGTACCCTTCCGGGAACGCTTTGAGGAGCTCCTGGTCTTTGTGCCCCACATGCACCGCTTCCTAAGCAAGAAAAAGATCCAGCACCACATCTATGTGCTCAACCAGGTGGACCATTTCAGGTGAGGACTGGTCCCTGAGCCAGCGCCGCTGGTCCCAGTGCCTCTCCTTGCCCATGGCTTAGTGTTTGTTCCTGTGCTCAGTGGGCTCAGGCCTGTGAGGGGCTACTGGGAGGAAAGGCCCGGTGGTGGGAGGAGATCAGCCCCTTTCCCTGGGTATAGTGGGAGCCTTTGGAGTGAGCCCCATCTGATGTCTTCTCCAGGAAGATCACTGTATGTGGAATAAGTTGCATAAGGCCACAGGAAGGAGCGATGACGTAGAGTCCCTGGAGGAGCACTTTCCTCTGCCCCCTTCCATCCCCACTCACCTCCCAGCAAGCCCTGTCCCAGTCCTCTCTGCTCCTCCAGGTCAGTGCTCTAGCCACAGGGCCTCTTCTACAGACTCTGCTCTGCTCTTTTGGTGATTCACGTCATCATGTGAGCACATAAATGCACAGAGATAATGCACCCAAGACGACTGAGTGGAGAGTCAAGGAGCTTGCCACCAAGCTTGATGAATCCACACGGTGGTAGGAGAGGTCTGACTCTCACAAGCTGTCCTTTGACCTCCACCACTCTAGGACTTGCATATATACTCAATTAGTGTTTTAAAAGGAAGGATCCAGGAATGGCAATATACTCCTTTAATCCCAGCACTGGAGAGTCGGAGAATGGTGGGTCTCTGGGAGTTTAAAGCTAGGTACATATCCAGTTCCAGGACAGCCAGGGCTGCACAGTGAGACCCTGTCTTTAGGGAGAGAGAGAGACAGAGACAGAAAGAGAGGAAGAAGAAGAAGAAGAAGAAGAAGAAGAAGAGGAGGAGGAGGAGGAGGAGGAGGAGGAGGAGGAAAAAAGGCTTCTCTGTCTGACATCCCCCCCATTGCTATCACCCTACTTCTTTATTCCTTTCTCTTTCTTCAAGTCTCTCTCTCTTGTCTCTCAAGACAGGGTTTCTCAGCTGGGCAATGGTTGTGCACATCTTTAATCCCAGCACTCAGGAGGCAGAGACAGGCGGATCACTGTGAGTTCGAGGCTAGCCTAGTCTACAGAGTAAGTTCCAGGATAGGCTCCAAAACTACAGAGAAACCCTGTCTCAAAAAAACAAACAACCCCCCCCCAAAAAAAAACAAAAACAAATGAAACAAAACAAACAAACAAAAAAACAAGACATGGGGGCTGGAGAGGTGGCTTAGAGGGTAAGATCATTGGCTGCTCTTCCAGAGGTCTCGAGTTCAATTCCCAGCAACCACATGGTGGCTCACAACCATCTGTAATGAGACCTGGTTCCTTCCTTGCCTGCAGTACATTATATGCTTAACAAACAAACAAACAAACAAATAAAAAACAAGACAGGGTTTCTCTGTAGCCCTAGATGTCCTGGAAAACTCAATCTTGCAGACCAGGCTGGCCTAGAACTCAGATCCACCTGCCTCTGTATCCTGAGTGCTGAGATTATCTTCGATACTGTTTTTTTCAGACGTCTCGTAAGATCTGCAACAGCCTTCATGAGGTCACGGTGGCTCCCATAATCCTAAGCCCTCATTCTCTCCCATCACTGGCTCCTATTAAGTACCCTTTTTTCTTCTAACGACTCTGCTTAACTTCCGGTTTTCTCCATCTCATTGTCGACCCTGCTCATCTCATTTTCCCTTGTGTCTCTGATCTCTCATTGTTTTCGCTGGAGCTCAGCGCTCCTCTCCCCTCAGCTGCAGTCTCCTGGAGAATCCCATCCCATCTCATCTCCTGGTAGTAAATCACTGGGAACTCCCTAGTTTGAACATTCATACCCTTTTTTCTTGAACTCCGGGCTTGTATATTCTGCCTCCGCTCATGATGAGACCACCAGATAGAGATCTTAGCAGTAGCCAGAGCCTGATGGGATCATGGCTGAATTCCTGATTGCTATTCCCTCAGACCTGCTTTCGTTCCTGTCTTCCCCATTTCAGAAAGTGGAAACTACATACTTCTAGTTACGCAAGTCAGACTCTGCCTGTCACAGCCTCCAGGCCGCCAGCAAATCGCATCTAGAGTCTGCCCATTTCTCACCATTCCTTTTTGCTGCCAGGCCACCCCACCTCTAGCCTCTCAGTGTCTACCTCATTCCCTAGTCTCTTCTCAGTGTACTGACTGGAGCCTCCTGGTGTCTGATCTTGGTGGCCTTGGAGTTACTCTCCTGTGTGTGGAGCCCTGTCCCCAGCTTCCATATGATCATTCTCTCAGGCTTTCAAGTCCTAACTCAGATATCGCCCTGCCACCCTGATGTCCAGACAGCCCTTTGTGGAAGAAAAGCTGCCACCTCCCCTTCCCGTTCCCTTCCACCCTGTTTGACTTGCTTCTTCCTATCCGAAGGCCCTTGAGAACAGGGATTTGTTTCCCAATGCTATTTCTTCCAGTGTGGGTTTGAACAGTTGCGGGCATATACTAGGTGTTCTGTAAACACTTGTACAGCAAGCAGAAGGGACAGTGCCCCTATCGTGATGTCAGTGTTGGGTGGTGCACAGTGAGGGCTAGAGCTAGGTCCATGAACAAGCTGGCTTCCTCTCCCTGGCATCATTTATCTTGTGTAGGTTCAACCGGGCGGCACTCATCAATGTGGGCTTCCTGGAGAGCAGCAACAGCACAGACTACATTGCCATGCATGACGTGGATCTGCTCCCTCTCAATGAGGAGCTGGATTATGGCTTCCCCGAGGCTGGGCCCTTCCACGTGGCCTCCCCAGAGCTCCACCCTCTCTACCACTACAAGACCTATGTGGGCGGCATCCTGCTGCTCTCTAAGCAGCACTACCAGCTGGTGAGGCCCAGCCCTACCTGCTCTACTCATTTGCTGGGGACCTTCCACCCTGGGTCTAGGCAGTTGGGGTAGAGCAGCCGTCCTGGGGCCCAGCAGAGCGAGTCTTGCCTGAGCCTGACAGGGGACTCAGAGACATGAGGGAGGACAGGAGCGAGCACATTAGCGGGGGAGAGCTCTGCTGTGAGCGCAGAAGCCCCCGCGCCCGCTGGCCAGAGAGAGCTGGTGATGTGCTGACTGCAGACTCTCCCTCGGCAGTGTCCCTGGCCCTCCTTTCTCTTTACATCTCTCATGTGAGAAGGGTGTGTCGCTACGGCCTGTGAAATGTGGCCCGGCTGTTGGGAGATGGAGCCCCTCCTCAGAAGTCTAGACAGGCGTCCCAAACTAAAGCATACTGGTTCTCGATGGGACCCAGGGACACTCGGGTGAGAAGATTGGAGTGACTGTTCTCTGTCCTCCATGACTGCAGTCCCTGAGCAGATGCTAATCAGGGTTGCCCCTCAGACACACGGGAAAGACCTGGGCAGAGCCACCTCAGGAGAACAGCTCTGAGAGGAAGGCAGAAGCCGTAGCAGTTGGCATTTTGCCCCCTGAAGGGAGCTGGCCCTCAAGATATTTATCACATACAAGTTCAAGGCCCTGTGAGGAGCGGGGAGGGCCTAAGATGTGCTGACCCTTGCGTTCAGCCTCACGTCCCCATCGCAGAGTAAAGGGACCGGCCAGTGGCCTGTATCACTTAACAGTCAGGACAGGAAGAAGAAGGGGGAGCCCAGCTGGCTGGGCTCAGGCTTGATTCTCCTGAGCAGTAAGAGACTGAAGTGCACCCCTGGGAGGAGGGGCATGTGACAGACACTGCCTGTCTTTGTGTCAGTGCAATGGGATGTCCAACCGCTTCTGGGGCTGGGGCCGAGAGGATGATGAATTCTACCGGCGCATCAAGGGAGCTGGCCTCCAGGTAAGGCTCCTCCCACGCTGCCTGCCCCTGGGCTACATGGCTGTCCCGAGGGTCTCTTTCCTTGTTCATCTTGGGGTTTGCAGTTGATTGCCCTGGTTCTGATCCCTGCTTTCATGCTGACTTGCAGGGCTTTCTGCCAGAGACTCCTGTCCTGCAGGATGGCAGTAAGAGCCCCTGCCTGTGGCAGCCAGTGGGATCCCAGAAGAGTTAGTGATAAGGGCCAAGATGACAACAGAGGCAGCCTGACCCCTACTTTCTTTGTTTTCCTTAGCTTTTCCGCCCCTCAGGAATTACAACTGGGTACCAGACATTTCGCCACTTGCATGACCCAGCCTGGCGGAAGAGGGACCAGAAACGCATTGCGGCTCAGAAACAGGTGCTGGCCAGGCTCCTCATTGGGGGCGGAGGGACCAGTAGGAGCTAGTAGGCCTTATCATTTCACCAAGCTCCCCTTTGGCCCAAACGGTGCCATCCTCCCATTGATGGGCATTCTCTTGATGATGGGCAGCTTGGTGGCTGCAGTGTGCATCTGGGCCCTGTGGATCAGCCCAGACCTGATCCATATAGGCTGGGTGGGAAAGGTTAACTAAAGGTGCAGCCTCCTATAGACTGGGTGAGAAAGGTTAAAGGTGCAGCCTCCTATAGACTGGGTGGGAAAGGTTAACTGAAGGTGCAGCCTCCTATAGACTGGGTGGGAAAGGTTAACTGAAGGTGCAGTCTCCTATAGACTGGGTGGGAAAGGTTAACTAAAGGTGCAGCCTCCTATAGACCGGGTGGGAAAGGTTAACTAAAGGTGCAGTCTCCTATAGACAGGGTGAACAGTTGGCACCATGAAGTGTGAGTTCATGTTCTTCTCTTCTTCCCAGGAACAATTCAAGGTGGACCGGGAGGGCGGCCTGAACACTGTGAAGTACCGGGTGGATTCCCGCACAGCGCTGTCTGTAGGAGGAGCCCCCTGCACTGTCCTCAACATCATGTTGGATTGTGACAAGGCAGCCACCCCATGGTGCATATTTGGCTGAACTGGCTGAACAGTAAGGAAGCCTGTGCTTCCAGACCTCAGTGCTGCTCAGGCTCAGGAAACCTCAGGCCTTAGGCCCAGCTCGAGAGGATGCAGAATGACCTGAAGGACTAGCCAGCCCCCTATCTACAGCCACCTGGGCCAGCTCCCTCCATAGCTGCAGCCACCTGGCCCCAGCCAGGCTCAAGACCGGACACAGGGAGTTCTGGAATGCTGCAGGAAAATCGCCGGAGAAGTTGGAGGTGTGGCTTTACGGGGATTCTCCGCCCAGCCTTCCTGCCCACCCTGCTCTTCCTGACAGCCCACGCCGAGGCCTGAGGCCAAGAAAGATGGCTGGGGTTGTCCTAGCCCTTCTGTTCCTTGGGAAGAGCAGCCTCACGCAGATGTAGTCGGAAGCCGAGGGGCCAGTGTGCGTGGCAGTTGCTATTAGGAGGCTTAGAACTTCAGAAAACAGAATATAGCCCCGAGTAAAGGAGCGGCTAAAACTAGCTTTAGCTGGCTGTCACCCTGAAGAACCGGGGTTGGCGGTGGGCCGTTTGTGCCACCAGATCTCCCTTTTCAAACGAAACTAGAATGCTGGATTCTTATACAGAATTTTCTGATTTTTAAATGGTAGCAGCTAACTAAAACTTTAAAAAGCTATGGCAGGTCAAACAAAATGTTTTGTGGACCACTGGTTTGTCACCTTTGTTGACCAGACGGGGTGCAAAAGATGACACTGTAGAGATTTTTTGGCCCAAGAAGCCTTTTTGCCGACGCAATAGTCCAGACCAAAAATCCCAGGTTTACTGTTTGCCAGCGCTCCTGGGTGGCCCTCCAGGGCTAAGGAGAACCGGAAAGACCATGTGTTCATTCTGGACTGTGGTGTGTGTGTGTGTGTGTGTGTGTGTGTGTGTGTGTGTGTGTGTGTGAAAATAGCCTGTGGGCGTGGCCTTGACCCTCTCCGTGGAGGGGTCACCATTTGGCGGGCTTTCTCGAAGGTGGAGTCTGGGGAGGTGGAGTCTGGATTGTGGGCAACTCTCAGGGGAAGGTGCTTGGAATGGATTTTCCACCAAACATTCCAAAGTGGATGTCAGGGGGCTAGGGTGACGCATTCAACCAAACATCCCAGACTCCTTGGATAAAGGGGTGCCAGGGAGCTGAGGTGACACTTCCAACCAGACAGGCACCTTTCACTTATACACCGGCAGGGAGCTGGACTGGGGCAGGGGTGAAGGTGGCAGGTGTAGGTGGGAAGAAAAGCCAAAGGCGCAGGTTCCTACACTTCCTTCCCGGCTCCCGAGCTCGCTTTACCCTGGGATGGCGAGTCACTTCTTTCTGCTTGCTGCTTCATCCTGCCTTCCTGGGAAGAAAGGTGACTGGGGATGCGGGAGTACCCACCCTGGCTGAGGGTGGACAGGACAGCCCGGAGGGCACTGTGTTCCTGGGGTGGGAGAAACTGAGGAGACATTGCAGAATCCTAGAGCATTCTGGCTGGAATGAAGGATGTGTGCTGAGGTAGAGCGTGGGACTGGGGAGGGGTCTGGGAGGAAACCTAGTGTTAACCCCACTAGGAGAGAACGAGACCGCTACCACAATTTTTGAGCCAAATTTGAGGCCAGCTTTATTAAATGATGGCTAGGGCAGTGGACACTGGCCAGGTCCATACTTGGGATTCGCAGAGTATGGCACAGGATGACATTTTTTAAAAGTATTTATTTATTTGTTTATTTATTTAGTTATTTATTATGTATACAATATTCTGCCTGCAGGCCAGAAAAGGGCACCAGACCTTATTACAGATGGTTGTGAGCCATCATGTGGTTGCTGGAAATTGAACTCAGGACCTTTGGAAAAGCAGGCAATGCTCTTAACCTCTGAGCCATCTCTCCAGCCCCCCAGGATTACATTTTTTGCTTGTAAAGACACATCCTACAAGACTATGAACTCCCACCTTCGTCCAATCATGGGCAAGCACACATTTTGTGCAGTTGGGGCAACCAAGCTTGTTTACTGAAGTGATGATGCGGGGCTGGTTATCTTGTGTGCACAGCTTTCCAGGAAGTAATCTGTCCTTGGGCAAGAGGGGCTTACAGATTAGAGGCATTTCTGTTTTCAAGATCTCTTAAGCACAGTAATTTAGACTTAAAACAAAATGTTAGCCCTCGCACCCAGCACCAACAGAGGAGGAAATGAGTGGTTCCACAATGTAGTCCTCTAGCAAGGTGTGCCTCACTGGGATCAGGAGCTAGAGAGGCATTTGATGCAGTTAAGGTGGTTGGTTTAACATTGAGACACCCAAAGGCTGTGGAAAGAAGGGGCTGCATCCAGTTGAGAGGGTAGAATCCACAGCTTCGATTCAAAGACTTGGGATGGTTTTGGGCCTGCTATGTGCAGTTGGGAAGACTGCTGGTGTACTGCACAACCTGATTTCAGGCTGGGAGTGGGGGGTCGGTGTGTGAAGCTTCAGGTTCCAAAGTGTAATTTGGGGTCATAGTGATTCTAAGTTGAGGCTGCCAGGAACTGAGCCTCACCCACTGCAGTGAGACACCTGCCTGGCTTACAGTACAGGCTGTGGAGACAGAGAGGCCTTGCCTCTGAGCTCTGGTCTTCTCAGCTTGGGTTTATGTGACCTGGGTAATGACTCACACCCCTTGGGGATGTGACAGCGAAGCCCTCAATTCTGCATCTACCTGGCATGTAGAAGAAACTGAAAAGTTGAGGGTCCTATCTATCTGTACCCGTGGAAGAAAGGCGAAGATGATGCTCTCTCTGCTCCACAGTCCCTGTGCCTGATGTCATCACCATTGTGCTGGTGGGCACCCCTGGCCGGAGCTGACGCACCCCCCCCCCCATCTGCAGCCTCCCTTCCTTGCTCCCAATTCTCTCCCATTCCTGCAGGATGGAAGTGTTGAACCCTGGTAGGCCGGGGTGAAGCAGGTGACAGTCTGCCTCTGTTTTCTCTGCCACTTCATGCACTGGACCCAGCTAACATTCCTACCTTGTTACTGGGGATGCGGATAAAATGTGCCAGGACATAAGCTTGCCTGGCCGGTATGGGTGGGAGAGCAGTCGCTACTTCTCTACCTCTGTTAGGGTTTTCTAGTGGAAAAGAACTGATAGAATGAATCCATATATATTAAACAAGGATATACTAGAGTGACTTACAGGCTATGATCCAGCTAGTCCAAAAATGGCTGTCTCTAAAGAATCTGATAGTTGTTTAGTCTGTTGGGATTCCAAAGAAGTAGGTTCTAATATCAGCGAAGGAGTGCCTCAGCAGGATGATGAACTTTCCAGCATGAGTGAGGGCAAAAAGCAAAGCGTCCTTCCATGCCCTTTTATGTAGGCACCACAAGAATCTGTGGCTGTGATTCGGGGTGCGCCTTCCTGCTTCAAATCTGCCAAGTCCTCACAGGGGTGGCCAGTCACTTGGACTTTAGTGAATGGTCATCATACTACCTAAGAGCTAAGTGTTTATTTCTGTATTGATGTCAAAGCAGGGCATACAGAGGCAAGGAGTTTACCTGACTTACAGGTGACAAATGCTGGAGCTTGGGATGGAACTCCCTGGTCTCCACTCCAGAGCTTACATGACAAGTGCCCCAGCCTCCTATCCTTGAGGACTCCCTGCCTTCTCTGTGGGAGAGGGCCCACCAGGAGGGCTGCCACAGTGTTATGAAAGCTGGCCACAGGAAATGCACAGAATTGGGTCCCACGGCTCTTCTGTCTCAAGGAAGACGATTGGTTTGACCAGCAGGGAGGTTCCTTGAGCTGATAGCCTGCTCAGAGCACCGCACAGCGATGACTAACAAACCTGGAGAAGGCTTGCTGGTGGAGTGGGAGTTGGCAGAATGAGGAAAGCTTCTAGGGGAATCGACATGCACAGAGGGGCTGGAGAGAGCACTGGGCTCAGGAACCAGAGAGAGGTTCTTTCCAGCCTCCAGCCTCCCCCCCCCCCCCCCCCCCCCCCCCCCCCCCCCCCGGCATCAGGAGGATGGGCAGAGGGAAGGCTATAGTGAGTCACCATCTGGGAATGCCACACTAGGCAATTGGTTTTTTGATCCTAGAGGTGCACAGTTTTCACACAGAATCTGGGCAGATTTTGATCCGTGTTCTAGAGATCATTTGAGGTTTAATAATCCAGGGTAAGGACTGGGCATGGTGGCACACACCTTTAATCCCGGCACTCAGGAGGCAGAGGCAGGCAGATCTCTGAGTCTGAAGCCAGCCTGGTCTGCAGAGTGAGTTCCAGGACAGCCAGGGCTACATAGAGAAACCCTGTCTCTGAAAAAATAAAAAAAATCTATTTTTCTCAGACACATAGTGTGGCACGTTTTTAGTTCCAGCAGGCAGTTTTTAGTTCCAGAGGTAGGTGGATCTCTGTGAGTTCAAGGCCAGCCTGGTCTATATAGTAAGTTCCATCACAGCCAGAGCTACATAGTGAGACCCTGTCTTAAAATGCTGCCCTCCAATTTAAAAAAATCTATTTTTCGGTTATGTGTTGATTTTTTTATTCTTTGGAAATTTTATGCACGCAGACAATGAAATATGATTATATGCATTCCCATTCCCCCTCCAACTCCCTTTGTATCCCCAAACACCTGCCCCTCCTGACTTTATGACTTTTTTCTTTTTTGTATATGCTTTCTCATTTTTTAAATTTGATAACTCATTAAATCCAATTATTATAACTCACATGTGCATGTGGGCTGGGGGGCATCCACCGGAGCAGGGAAACTACCATTGTCCACACCCTCAAAGAATGATTTCTCTTCCCCAGCAGCTATCAAGTACCAAACGCTCCTCGGTATGAGACTTGGAAATCATCTACCCTATCTGTGTGGGCTGTTAGTTGGCTTGCTCTCGTGTAGAGCATGTTCAGGTAACCACAGCTGCTGTGAGTCCATGGATGAATTCAAGGGCCACTCCTTCCCATTTTAGCAGGGGTGGGGAAAAATAGTGGTTATAATGATGGCCCATTTAAAGTTGAGCACTCAATGCATTCTTTGCAGCACTCTGCCCAGTTAGTTAGGTGTCTGCTGTCTGCACTGACCACTGCATGCAGCAGAAAGAAGTTTCTCTGACCCAGGTTGCAGGTCTACAGGTGTAGCATAAATACTTCCCAAAGTGGTCATTCAGGAGAATGATGATAGCAGGTTCTACCCTGGGGCATATGGCTTCTCCAGGTATGGGTTTTGGCTGAGTGAAGAGAACCTGGCATGAAATCCCTCCTGTGAATCAGGCCTCAGATCCAATCAGAAAGCTGTAGTTACCCCGTAACAGCCATGTCAGTACTGCATCAGTAGGCACATCTTACCTGGCAGGTCGGTATTGTGGCATGCAGGGTCTAGCACTCATCCAGCAACAGACACAGTCCAGGGCTGGAGAGATGATGGCTCAGTGGTTAAGAACATTGCCTCGTCTTCCAAAGGTCCTGAGTTCAATTCCCAGCAACCACATGGTGGCTCACAACCATCTGTAATGAGGTCTGGTGCCCTCTTCTGGCCTACAGGCATACACACAGGCAGAATATTGTATACATGATAAATAAATACATTTAAAAAAACATACACAGTCCCGCTGACACTATGGAAGCTAGCCAGTGATGGGAAGTTTCCCAGTCACTTTGAGACTGATGTATGTCCTGCAGCCAAAGTGTGTGGTGTCTTCAGCAATAAGAGCTTCTGTGTAGACACGGTGGGTAAGCAGGAGCCATGGCAATAACCATTGCTTCAGAAACCTCCA